ATATATATGTGTGTGTATATATATATATATATATATTTGTGTGTGTGTTGCATATAGGATAATAGGAAAGAACCGTTAGGTTAATAATCAAAAGTTCTTTAGTATTGTTGTTTTTATTTAAAAAAAAAAAAAACAGTGCTCGATACATAAGTAGAGCCTAAATTATAATTATTTTTTTAAAAATATGATTCCATCGCTACATAAGAGTTCTTATGCTAACTTATGTAGCGATGGAATCGTATTTTTTAAAAATAATCATCATATATATATATATATATATATATATATATATATATATATATATATATATATATATTATGAACGTTATTTTATTGATACGCATGTTCGGGAAGATAACATTATTTTTTAAAAAAAGAATATTAATCCATGCTTTATGTAAAAAGAAATTTTTCTCTAAACGCTAAATTAAGCCTGTCAAAACATTTTTTTCCCGATAAGGGAATGCAGGTTTGATTCCGACATTTTAAAATAATTTTTCGATGCATAGATCTGTGGACATTAAGTTCACTATATGAAAAAATGGTGGTACCTACTCAAACAAATGTGTTCATTAAAATAACGTTTATAATAAAAATAATAAGAAGAATTATGCATCTGTATATCACCACTCCATGCTAGTTAAATTTCATGCATTTCATCAGTTTCGATTTATCATTTTACATGAAGCACTGATTTATTACTGAAAGTATTATATATATACATAGCATCAAATAACTGATGCACACACTTTTACTAACTAAGGGGACATTTTCCTCACATCAAATACTATAAAATATGCACTGTTCTTTCAGCAAATCAGTGTACCTAGATATCCGATCGCTTCAGACCAGGAACGAAAAACGACCGAGATTTCTTACCTGTAGGCCATTAACGCCCGTCGGAGAAAAAGGTATGTTTTTACCTGTCTATATTTCTGAGGTGAGGAATTATGTACACTATTTACATCACTCGGACTATTGTCTTCATCTTTGTCGCCATATTTATTACAACGTTTCGGCTGTTGTACGCTCCGTCCTTCTTCAGGTGCTTGAAATGTTGAGCTGGCCCCTTTATTTCGCTCCCTGGGGTAGACTGTTCTTGTTCCACGTGCCATGTTTAGTGGATGTCAGTTATCAGTTGTCTCCTGTTAATTCCCCTCTCTAAGTTCTCCACTGCCTTAACCGAGTATTAAAATCACACTCTTTGGGTCCTGTCACTGGATCTAACCAACGTCTTTATCCACTGTGCCTTGTGTCTTTGAGGGTTCAGTTCGACATTCCAACCACCTGAAGAAGGCCAGAGCGTACAACGGCCGAAACGTTGTAATAAATATGGCGACAAAGATGATGACAATAGTCAGAATAATAAAAATATTGCAAATTTTTACGTATTTATTTTTCATAAAAACATCAGTCACTCTCAATCGTTAGGAGAGACTTGCATTATCAACAGTAATCGTGCCTGTTTAGAAATTCGTTCCTATGTCTATAAATCATTCGTGTTATAAAGTTTAAAGAAAATTCACGATAGGTATCGAGTGTTGCCATATAGATTGTTACATTTGTCATTCATGTACATATGAACATGCGTAGTAGTGAATTCACAGAGAAGTGTTCCATTTAACAATGGAAGGATCATATATCGTGATCAGGCAGATATGACTTTTACGTGGTAATGGACACGAGGCCCCGTAGCCAGATTTCGTTTTCAGACCGAAGGCTCCGAGTCATCCAACCATTGCTGCTGTTTATTATCGTGTTGGTGAGACAGGACCCGTGGTATCACAAACAACTTATCGAGGAAACCAGACTGTCGGACACAATCCATGTATCAGTACACGTCGTAAATCTCACTTTACCGCATGTAGTGTATTTAAAGAACAACTCAAGTATCCGTACTATTTTAAAGGCTGCATGTTCTTTCGCCCTTTGACAACACACCATAGAATTTTTGCCGTTTGCTTATGATTTATTGCACGAGCTGCCGGTGTCTATATGGTCTGTTGTCCTTGTTTTGGTGTGAGGAATCCACCCTAACTACCTTTCTTTCGCCATATATATATATATATATATATATATATATATATATATATATATATATATATGGAAATGAGGAGGGAATTGCATGATTTGAGTGAGGGGTTGGAAAATGGAAAAATTTCATGTTTGCGTCAGTAACTTTAGAACGTTTCATCCACGTCTTCTGGTGAGCATTTCATCGAAGACAAAAATCTTCGCAGATGGAAGGAGAAGAAGTGCCTTTTCTGTTCTGTCAGCTACTGCGTCTAATATACTGCAGTCTGGGGGAGAAGGGGAACGATAAAAAAAAAGATACAGCTGACAGAGTTTAGAAGCGAATGACGGAAGTACATGAAAGGGAAGTCAGCGGCCTCAACTTACAATACCATGGTCATCGGATGATTATCCCGGAAGTAATCAGCAAGACCATGCATATGAATGCTGAATCTTTTTGGCAAAGGGGAAGATACACTGAAACCAAAAATTCCTTGGCAGCAATCGAAGAATTGAAGTTGGTTTCACAGAGGTCCAACATATCTGGCGACTTTTCCGGGAAAAAAGATTCTATGCTACAGAACTTGGAACGTAACAACTTTTTGTTGTGATTTATATAAGATATGTGCTGAGAGAAAAAAAGGCCGCCATTAGTGCCACTATCTGTGGGCAATGGCAATATAAACCACCCAGCGCATAGCTGTGAACAGAACATAATATGATCTCAGGATTGCCCACCTGAAATGCAGACAGAGACTCCTACACATGCCCGACATGGCACAACAGATACACCGATATTATGCGACTGTTGATCGGAGGAGCCTTTCTAAGCCTTACCAAAGTGTTCAGGCACCTAACAACTAGTTGTAAGCTGCCTCCTTCAAGCTTCGAATACAGTGACGGGAATTGTTAGCTGGTTTATTTTTATTTTTTGTTGGGATTCTATGAGATATGTTTTGAGGGGGATTGAGAGAGAAAAAAGCCTACCATAATCGTCACTATTTGTCATCAATACAAACTACCAACACATTACCCTCATAATGGAAAGTTACAGCGATTTGTCATTCTGATCACCAAAAAGTTAAGACAGATCATTGTGGCCTTAGTAAGAAAAAGAAATCATATCCTAATCAAGGAACAAGGGATGAACCTTGACTTTGACTGGAAACGTGTTACGCGTAATGAGGTAACAGTAACCAAACAAAACATCCTGCTGCATCATTAGTAACTTTTACACACTTTAACGTCGAGAATGTTTGCCACACATATTTCAAAATTATCTATTACTTCATTACACGTGACACGTATCTAACAAATAAGAAATAGCTAAACACAAAATAACATTAATCGGCGTATCTTTACTTTTTATCATTTTTTATCATTTCCATCTTGGTCGCTGACGAAGCTTTAATAAAGATGAACCTGTTAGAATTAGATATGTTTTCTACTTGATATTATATATATATATATATATATATATATATATATATATAGCATTTCACCCCAAGCAAGGCTGGGGGCCACTAGCAAGCAAGGGGTTACAGAGAATTTGGAGCGAGAGCAGATAGTGTGATAGAGGAAAGGGTGAGGAGGATAGATCAAGGCAACTGGAAATGTATAATTTAATGAAGCATTTTAAAATGGACGGTCGGTTCAAGCTAAACAGTTTGATAGTTAATAGCAATGTAAGGAACAATTACAGATAATCAGACAGAAAACAACAAAAATGTAAAAAAAAATAAATAAGTATAAAATTCAAAATCCAATAAGTAAAACAATAACTAACACAGACATTTCTACATTTAAAAAGTGTATCGTATCTCTGAAAAACTGACTTGCCCTTTTTTGGAAGGGGCAGGCGACCTTATTCTCAATAGTAGAAATTGGTGAATATTTGCCGGGCTCATGCAAAATCATCTCGCCTTTTCACGGTCAAAGTCTCACGCTTAAGTTAGATGGTGTGGCTGCGGTTTGTGTGTGGAAGTATTGGTGGTAGCAGGGTTAATTTTTTTTACCCGGTAGGAATACGGGGGGGGGCATGAAGGTTCTTCCAATTGCTTATTTATTTTTTTTTCTTTTTGTATTTATTTATTTGAGCTAAAGAATTTAATATAGTCATTAGACAGTAACTAAAATTAATAAGTCATCCACAAGGAAATGCCAATTTTCAAACATTTTATAACAAAGCACATCTTTATATAAATACTTATACTAATGAACAACATATAGTTTTTTACTACTGGCACCCCTGAAGATGATCTTGGAAAAAGATCGAAAGTACTTGGGAAATGAAAATAAAAGAAATTTAAACAGCTAGAGCACATTTCTGTTATCCTTCAACATCAAACATTGAAATAATACGAAATGATAGAGCTCATTTTAATATCCAGTCCTGCTGGTGCAGCAACCCGATACATTTGTCCAGTGTTCGAGCATAAATCAATTTGTGAAGATTCTTGAAATACGGTAATATTAATGGTAATAAAATGGCGCTACTTGCTAAGTTTAGAAAAGTCTAGAATTATATAATGCCTTCTTTCTAAGGTATACATAAATCTCTGCAGAAAAGAAAAAAAAAGATAAAGAATCAGTAAGAAAAAACAGGAAGAATTTTCTAACAAATTGAACGGCATAAAATGTCGCAGATGAGATTAGATTACATTTTTATCTTGTTAACCTCATAATTTATAAGTGACATTTTTTTTTTACCTTGATGTCTCAGTGCCCATTTAAACTTTAGGCCAAGTTAGTAGTTAAAGAAATCAATATTCTGTGTGTGTTGAAGCAATTAAGAGTGTTGAAACCTCTTCTTTGTTCCTGGAAGAGTTTTCGTATTTGTATTCTGTCTTAGGAAAAGATATCAAACCTGCAATGTAGTGTTAACATTTCTATTGAAATTTGTTAAATGAAAGGAAAAGTATCGTCTTAACAACTAGTCCATCCCCCTCTTCCTCCGCTTCCTCATCCTACTCCTACTCATCCTCCTCATCATCTCTTTGATGTTCGAATGAAAAACAAAACAGAATTAGAAACAAATAAACCAATAGGAAGATGAGGAAATAAACTGTTAAATATAACAAATGACGTAGAAATAAATTTAAAAAATAGGGAAGAAAAAGATAAAGAAATAGAAGCAAGTGAGAAAAAAAAGAAAGAGACACATATAAAAAAGAAAGCAAGAATTTGGGAAAAGAAGAGAAAACAAAAGAAAAAAAAATTAGGTAGGAACAAAAAAGGAGATAGAAAGAATGAAGAAATAAATGCAATAGAAACATAAGATCGAAAAAGAAGGAATGACTTAAAACGAAAATAAGGAATCAATTAAAACATAATAAAGTAACAATATAAAGTAACAATATAAAGTAAGAATATAAAGCAACAAAATAAAGTAACAACATAAAGTAACAAAATAAACTAAGAACAATATAAAGTAACAATTAAAAAAATAATAAAATAAACTGTCAAAATAAAGTAACAATATAAAGAAATAACAAAAGATAAATATATGAACAATAAAAAACAGAATTAAAATAAATGGACTGAAATATAAATGAAGATAATTACACAGAAAATAAGGAGAAAAAGAACGAAGCAGAAAAAAAAAAATAATGGAAAAATGCAAGAAAGAAATAAAGAAGTAAAGAAAACTGAAAGAATCAAAGAGAGAAAGAAAAAAAGGAAAGAAAAATAAATAAATAAATAAATGAATAAATAAATAAATGAATAAATAAATAAATGAATAAATAAATAAATAAATAAATAAATAAATGAATAAAAAGAAGTAGAAATAGATTGGAAAAAAACCCCTAGAAACAACTAAATAGAAACGAAGAAAACAGTTGTATGCAAATAAAATATGAAATAAACACGAGAAAGAGAGAAAGAAATAATGAAAAAAGCAAAGAATGAAGAAGAAATAAAAAAAATTAAACTAAAAAAAGAAAACTCAGACGAAAGAGGGAAGAAGAACTGAAAGAAGCAACGTAGGTTGGAGAAGAAATTTATAGAAAACAAGGCTGATGTCGTGCAACGTTGTACGGATTTGAAAGGAAATTCTTCCAAAGGACTAAATCGCAATTGCACAGAATTCGACTAAACACTTGCAGCTGCACCTGTATTTCCATATCAAAGAATTCCTATGACAACAAGATTAGTGTCTAACTGAATGCACTGATGGCAAACAATGCACCCATGCAACATCAAAAAGGACAGCTGCAAACATGGCGCCCATCGAACAATCTACAAATGGAAGTTACTCCTTTAGGGTTTCAGATTTCGTAATGAATGCCGCTTCGAAGGAAACGACAAAATCGTTTCAGCAGACAGTAATCCATCATTCTCATGGTAAATTATTGAACACTGATCTGTTCATCATTAACTATTAAACCCATTATACATCAAATATTGTAAATTATTTACATTTCATTCAAATCTAGTAAAAACTTTGAGCTTCAAGTTAATGTTTTGATTTCATAAGTTATATGAAGTCTTGAAGCTCAATGAATGTCCCAGATTAATTAAGTATTCTTTTTTAAATCCTTAAATTTGACTGGTGAATTCTCCAACAATTTATTATAGTCTCAAATTGCAACAATAAATGCTTTTACAATCTGCATAACAGTCTAAAATGCCATGCTGTTTATGATCCGTAAGCCATTTTGGTGATCTGATTAATAAGATTTGATCGGTCAACTCTCCAACAATACATTGTCTAAACCAACAAGATGATTTCTTATTCTTTCGGACGTTGAACCCTATGAATTTCTTGCATTATACTTATTATTTTTTTCGGTGAATACCTCACATATTTACATACCGTTTTTGTATTTTGAACACTAAGATTTGATCAATGAACTCTCACACCGATCTTTGATTGTGCAAACTCATAAAATAAAGTCGTAGTATCCCCTGAACAGAAACAGAGTTTATAATTGCAAAACATTTTTCATTATTTCGTTCTGTGAGATCTACGACTTTCTTGGCATTATGGAAAGTTCTGAGGTGAATTGGCATAATTATATAATGAATTATCCGTATTTTTATTTTCATTTTTATTATTATTATTATTATTATTATTATTATTATTATTGCATTGCAGACCTTTCTCATGAAGACGTTAGATTTCAGATATCGAATATCTCAAAGTTTTTAAATAGTAAATCATTAACGGACACATTTGATTTCATTTTTTGATGATTTACATTTACATGAAAAAAAAAATTAAAATTTTTGATAAAAGAAAATATTGTATGGGAAAGCCGCTTTACCTTGCATTCCATTAATATAACCTAACACAAAATCATCCCTCTGTAAGCAAAAGAAATTATTTTTGGAATGTTTTTCTCATTTTTAGCTGTTGCATGTAAGCATGTCTATGTTTTGTCTTCGATTGAGCTCTAAAGACCGAGGAATGATAACTAGTTAGCCTTTTTTGGATCCTTTACTGCTATATATCTGTGAATAACCAACTCTACAGTACTCGCAGTACTAGTTTTTCTTATCCTTCCTCTTCATCCCCTTTGTTTTAATGCATGTGTATATACTATGTGACTGTATACTTTTATAATGTTCGTATTTAAACCCATAATAAAATGTTATACACCTCCCCAAGTCTGATCGTAATATAAGATAATCTTGCCACATATAGTGTTCGTGGTAATTACACCTCTTTCCTGAAAAGTTGACTGTCTCCATAGTCTTTCTTTGTTGGATTTACAAATGTTGTTTTCGCAGAAACACGTGCATGCGATTAAATTTGTTGCAGACGTCTGAAGATTTTCAGATGACACAAGCAATGTCGATTAACTCTTGGAAAAGACTATGAAGTGGAGTCTTATCGACAGACTCATTCCCCGATTGGAATATTGCCAGAAGATATAGGTAAAAAATTATAACATCAGATGAGAAAATGCATAAAACTCTGAATATTGCTATTACGTAATTCTTGACATTGCAAACCGATTGAAAACTACCTTTAAGGGGTACTGCAGTTAATACAAACCGTTTGTGGACACTGGATACAATTTTATAACTGGAGGACAACGTTTGTTTTTTTTTCAGATACCTATATGACGACGGTCAATCCATCTGTTTAACAGGTTTATACTTTTTAATTGACTAATTAACGCAGATCTTGTTTATATTTTTCTTGATCCATGAACATTCATCTGACAATATAACACTGACGAAAAAAAACGAAGAATATCCGGGACTTTTTCAGTTAGAGCCAATGGAGTTTTCGAAACCAAGACGAAGCACAGGATCGTGAGCATTAGAGATTTTCGAAGAAATTTTTAAATTCCCTGTACATTTCTGGGAAGAAGAGTTATTTTTACAGTATTTAAATTCAGAATATTATCTTTATCTTCTATCTCTATGTACTTTCGAGCCTTACCGCGTTGTCTGATGCTCGGGATATCTTTTAAAGCATCTCGAACCAAAAAGTTTACGTTAATGCAGTAGTGATCGGTTAAGCATCCACTAGGAAGTCTTTTCCACGGAGTACCAATTCTTTTGGGTGGGAAGCCGTCTGAGTGTAACTTCCTATTTACAAATAGGGGATGCGAATGAAACGACACTGTAGACGTGGTCTGGAGGATACGAATGAGATGAGTCTGTGAATGTGGACTGGTGTATGCGAATGAGACGAGCCTATGGGCATGGGCTGGTGTATGCGAATGAGACGAGCCTGTGGACGTGGACTGGTGGATGAGAATGAGACGCGCCTGTGGACTGGTGGAGACGAATGACACTTGCCTTTGAATGTGGTCTGGTGGCGACAAATTAGACGAGCCTGTGAACGTGGTATGGTGGATGCGAATGAAACGAGTTTGATGGCGTGGTCTGGTGGATGCGAATGAGGCGAGCCTGAACGTGGATTGTTTGAGGTGAATGAGAGTAGTCTGTGAACGTGGTCTGATGGATGTTATCTGAGAATATCTGAACTGATTGAACTAAAAACCGGAGCTGGTGTAAACATTTAACAATTTGCTTGTCTGTGGGAAATGCTTTACAGGACACTCTTGTGACACCATTCTCTCTCATATTGGATTTTTAGAGTGAACTATGGCCGCAGCATATTCAGGCGTGAACTAGGTCTGACTATTCAATCACTTTTACATTTTGTGTGGTATGAAACCTTTCATGACAGAAAATAAATAACATTAGGAAATCGGAGAGTCTCTTCTGATAGCTCTGTGGTTTCTACTGAGTCTATGTACACCTATATCCTCTATGCAGGGACTGAACTCCCAATTATTCTTCCACTAATGTACCAAAAACCACAATAAATCTGTAGGTAATTGTCCTGGGGAGCAATCTAGAAATTTAGTACTTGGAGTCTCATACCTGAATTTTTCCATACTGCTGCTGCAGCCTCGTTTTCGACTTTAGATCGGTGTGCCTCTTCTAATCTTATCTAGTGACTTTCTTTTACAATTTCGACATTTATTTTTAACCATATCCCTCGGTTTTACACGCAGATCCGTCTCAATTAATAATTCTCAAAACATTAATTCGTAATTCACTCTTAAAAATGGGCTTTAATTATTGTGTTTGCAAACAAATAACAATCCACGTTGAGTTTCTTTGATATAACTATACCGGCCGTCACAACAAGTTGTCCAAATCGAGTGACAGCAAAATTGTCTAATTTTTAGGTTAAGCTTTGCCCCGTTGTATCTTATTTATTCATTATTATCTGTGAATTGTCATAACTTCTTAAAATATATTTCGGAGTGGCTTTCTTTTCCTCGGTTTCGAATCACATTGATTGGTCAGTAATCTAATACAAAGCAGATAACTGAACATTCCTTTTTAAAAAATAACTCGAGGGTACCTCGAGGCGGTGTAATGATTAACAAACTTGTCTAGCTAGAATAATTACGACATAATAGTAACTTTGATCATAAATGGTTACCCCTACTTTCGGCATTTTGCCAACTCTAAGCTACGATTAGAAAATCATTTTAGGGTACCTCGAGGCGGTGTAATTATTAGCAAGCTTGTCTCGCTAGAATAATTACGACATATTAGTAAGTTTGATCCTTACTGGGTACCCCTACGTTCGTCATTTTGCCAACTCTAAGTTACGCTTGGTAAATCATTTTAGGGTACCTCGAGGCGGGGTAATGATAAGCAAGCTTCCCTCGCTAGAGTAATTGGAAACTCACTAGTGGTCACCTCAAGGCGGTGTATTTATTATCAAGCTTGTCTCTATAAAACAATTACGACTGAGTAGTGAGTTCGATCCTACCTCCGTGAGTCCTACTTTCGGCCTTGTGCCGCATCTACGCTACGCTTGGAAAATCTCTATAATTAGTAAATATAAAATAAATTCAATCCTTTGCTAAGAAATTCAGAGCAAAATACACGACTTGGATTTGAACCCGGTTACTCGATTGTTCTTTCCATGTTGATAAATGCTACGCTACTCTTTCAGCTCACTCTTTATCGGCACGTATTGGACAGTTTTCTTGTAATGAAATACTCTATGTTTTTGTTTGTTCATAAAACAAACTAAAATAAATTAGTGACTGAATAATTATATGAATAAAATATTATGTTAAATACTGGAAAGAAAGATCAGATCAAGTAAATGTGTAAATTACTTCCATAGGATGAGGCTGCTGACGTTTTTAATAAATTAATTTATATTGGTGAATGAATAATGAATGAATTTAATATAACGATTATTACTACGCCATTTTTCCCTATGTATGCAACTCGATGTTATTAACAAAAACTTATTTATATTTTCGAAATATCCTAATAAAATCTAAGCGCTCTAATACGATATGTGCCTTCCAAATTTTAGAATGAAAATGCTATATAAGACAAAACCATTCCAATCCCATCCAGGCTGATCTGTGCAAATTACTGTATATACATAATGCTTGGTTTTATTATTAGATTGTTACGCAAAATTGAGGTCGCATTATACACAGGTAATTTTTTAAGTGTTTAAAAATCATGCATTTTTGTTGACTGGTTACAATATACACAAATAGTTCTTTTATTTTTACTGGAGGAGTTAAAACTGATGCAAAACATATCAATGGTCGTACTATACACGAAGTCGACTTATACACGAGTATATACAATTGTAAAAATCTGCTTATTTCCTCTTATTTAAGTATCAATATAAAAATATATATCCTTGTCTTGAAAATCAATTTTGATTAAGGAATAATGGCCTTAAACCAGAAATCCTTCGGTCTTCTGTTAAATAAATTGGCGCCTCTGACGGGGTATTGTTTAGAAAATACGTTTGGAAACCTCACTAGTAGAGTTACTTCCTTCCTCACTGCGTCTTTCATTTCGTGTGGCCCAGAATTAAGCAGGGAGAAGAAATAACTGGACGTTTACCATAGTACTGTTAACAGAATTTACACTAACAGGGAAATTTATGTACTTGCATCAGGTTAATACAACTCAATAAATAACTTTTGGGCTATCTGGCGTGATGAAAAAAGACCTTGCCTCGAAAAAAAATCATAATTTACATGACTTTCGCCCGGTGTTCCTGTAATAAATTAATTCAATCGCCCAGGTTTATTTTTATATTAAACATTCCAAACAATAAAATAATGAAGATAATTAAAACATGCGTTTACTTGTCAACTAAATTTAAATAAATGAAGTTTGCATTTACAAACATATGTGCATGAATTCAAAGGATTCAAAAAGTATTATAACAGTCTTTAACGGAGTTAAGATAATTGCGTAACTTGTTCAAAGAAAATGTGTTGATTAAAAAATACTTTTATCGTTAGCGAATATTCACTGATCGTCTTTGTTTTTATCATTAGAGAAGTTTCGTTTGAATTTGCTGGACATAATCCTCAGCGAAGATTCACTAACCGTTCAAGGTGTTCTTGGTCGCTGATTTGTTTGGAGTTGCTGACACGCGTTTCTTTCAGTACACGCTGTGGGAGAAGGAATCCACCATGTAAATCTAGCCACGTCATTGTGTTTGAAACAGCTTTGAGACAGTCTTATCACTGAAATCGGAGAGCCAAATTTGAATTCCAGTCAAGTTCATTAGATTTATTTACATGCTTGAAATCTGTAGGGTTTTATAAGAGATTTTTCCGAAAGCTCCAGAAATTTACTTTTCGCTGGTTGGTCAATATTTCACATGGCGATCCTAATTCTAACCAATAAACACTGATTTAAACAGTGTGTGTTATACTGTGTAATCTTTTTCTCATGTTTGTAATATTGAAAATTACTGGCTATAACATAATGCTTGGACATGCATTAATATGCTATGTGCCTAAGTGTTCAGTTGTGTTTGGAAAAGGATTTATTTCCTATACGCTATGACAATGCTACGGTGAATTGTCGACTAGTTTTGATCAACTTTTTGTGTATATTCTTCTCGAAAACTTATTTTCTATGGTAGCGAGTTCCTTCAACATTTATAGATACATTACTGAGTCATCCTAAACGCAGATAAATACCTGGTCAGGGTTTGAATGTGCCAAGTGCTTCCTGAAAATTTATTCAGTAGGATAATAAAAAAAATAATCAGTAGGTGGATTCATTCTGCGATATTTTGGGTTCAAGATTAAGTATATTTTTGATAGTAAATCAATTTGTCGCGATCAAAGGCTTGGTAAGGAATTATAAAAATGAAAGCTTGAATTCGCGCTATATTAGACATTCACCTGCTTTTCTTTACATATCTTGTATACAAGAAATGTCTATTTATGCAATCTTTATGATCAAAAGGTGTGGACATAGTCCACAACAATTTTAAGCTCATCACGCGCAACGTTTAGACTGAGAACATTTTCGCCCGCACAGAAGAATGAGAATTCAAAGAAAGTGTCTATAACCTTAAATAGTATCTTTTTTCAAACAGGAACACAAAAACCAATAAATAGATCAGTTGACCCCAGACTAATTATAACTATGATGAATATTATTGATATTAGGATGTTTCGAAAATAAATCAGCTTTTTGTTAAGGGAAAAAAAGATGGCGTAGAATCAGAATTTTTTAATCGGTTACACTTCGTAGCAAGGAATAGGTTCTCTATGTTTACCGAAGATACGATTTCGGTTCTTAAAGTGGTATTACTCTTTAATTCTGATATATATTTATGAATAAAGATCGTAGAATTAGGATCTGAAACTTGTTGACAGTCCATATTAATATGGCTAACTGAACATTTATTCGTATAATTGTAAATACTTCACATACTGACAAGACAAAATCTGAATAGGCCAACAGTCCAAAGGGTGAGTTACTGTCTATAACGACAGCGATTTTCTAAGTCACACAGATATAGTAATATGTGTAGCATTGCGATAGTAGATAAAAATCATTTACTTAATAGAACTAAAAATATTATACCAAATTACAATAATTAAACCCAGTCGTATCTTAGAAACAAATAATATTTTTATGTGCATTTAATTTTTTTAAGCAAGCCGAGTTCAAATTCAAGCCTCCTCACCTAATGTAATTGAGAAAAGCATAGATCCATTCTATGGGTTAAACAGCGGGTTAATTTTGGATTTGAAGCCTTTGCTGGTAGACGATATAGGAGAAGGACTTCTCTGAATTCGAATCCATGAAGAAAGTAATGAAAACTAGTCGACTTTCCTATTGAAGATCAAAGCAATTCACACATAACAAAGAAAAATTAATTTGTGGAAAGTCAAAATCCTATATAACCTGAAGAGACATTCTATATATATATATATATATATATATATATATATATATATGTGTGTGTGTGTGTGTGTGTGTGTGTGCGTGTTTGCGTGTGTTGGTGTGCATGTATGTGTGTGTGTCTGTGTGTTTAGGCAACAATATTTCTTTCGTGCACATTTCAGTGAATACGACATACAAGGCATTTTGACTTAGTTTTTTATACAATTTCCAATATGATCTAATATTTCCTCTTCTTTTCAGATGATTAATTATATTAAAAACTGTCCGAATGTTGCTTTCTTCCGAGTGCTTTCGGCTATATATTTAGCCAATTTCAAGGTTGAAATATATTAACAGCTAACAAGAAATAGACAGTTGTA